AGCCCCATCATACTCAGTAGGATTTTTTTCTGAATAGATATACAGAATTAGTTTCTCTTATGAATTGGTTTCTCTTATTAAAACCCATAAATTTAAACACTGGAATCCTGCATTCATTTTACAACTGTCTGTAGCTTCAAAGAATCCTTTTTGTAACTTTAGCATCTTTTTGACTATGTTGCTGAAATTTGAAAGGACAATTTTCTTCCACGGTGAAGCAAGACGTAATATAGCCTTTAATTATAACAGAATATAAAGAACTCACCTGAAACTTTAAAAAAATCCAGCCCTTCCCATTGTATGTCACTGCCTCAAAACAATATGACCCACAGAGCCCTAAAACTTTGCACTGAGCCCTTAGTAATCAGGTAATCAGTTCTCGACTGCTTTGAAAGTCATCAAATTTGGTACTTGATACATTTTGATGAGAAAATTTTGTCTCCGTACTTGTCATTGCTTTTGTATTCGACGCGCAAACTAGAACTTGTGTCATTTGCCTCGTGACTCGCTACCCTTTCCAGTCAAAACAAAATATCATGCATTAGTCACGCGGTAGCTCTCGCTCTGTGCATAACCCCTTGTGGTCTTACCTTAGCTTCTGTGGTCATTTTGTGTATTGTTGGGCTTTTTTCCTCATCAATACAGGTAAAGTGAAGTTTTTATTTTATTTATTTATTTGAGACACAGCAAGTTTTAAATATGAACCAGTTGCCAAGCATCTGATCTTGGCAACTTGAGTGGGAACTTTTAGCCTAGAATGTAGTTTTAATTCCCTATCCATTTCTGCTAACTCTATGAATGAAAATGACTTGTTCATAATCATAACCTTAAAATTCTAAGCAATAATACCAATTTACTCTTCCTGGTTAAAAGGTGTATCAAACATTCTCTATAAATGCTAATTATTGTGGAGTATTTTAGGTACATTTTTGGGTGAGACAGTCATAAATTGAAGAAGGTTCTAAGAAAGTGATTAGTGGAAACATCATACATTATCAAATGTTTCATTAAAAATAAATAGAATTAAAATACATAGCTGTAAAATAAACACACGCACAAAAGAACACACTATTCCTCATTCCCCAATCCATCAAGAGTTTGAAGTTGTCCCACAATCTCCTTCAATTCTGCCAAAATACATAAGTCCTCTTTCTTGCTAATGAATAGTAACAAAATCCCCTCCCTCATATTTTTAGTACATGATGTGTGGACTGGTTTAGCCAATTGAATTTTTTTTTTAAAAAAAATCTGGTTGTTTCAAGGGGAGCCTTCCTGGCTGCAGGGATGCCATTCCTTCTGTTTCTATTTAAGAGCAAATGTGATTTGTAAAGTCAAGAGGTTAGCATTTCAGTATTCTTTGCAACCAAGCACTTTTCACAGTAGAACTGGCTGCTTGCTACTGCAGCTGCAAAACTGCAAATATTTGCAACTTTTCCCAGGTTTGCAGAGCTGCAGTGAAATTGACAGACTTGTACATTTCTCTCATTTCTTCAGAGAACCAGTAATAAGGCTTTCTAGATTTTCTTTCAACAACTGCCTTGTTACTGGATCAATTCATTTAATCCCAGGAGATGAAGTTGCAAAAAAAAACCTTTGTTCTGACTGTCCATCTATATATCTATCTAAACAGCATTTTATATAATGTTCTCTACTCCTACGATTATTGTCATTTTAATTTTTTATCTTATATAAAACCTTTTTTTCCCTCAAGACATATATTTAGATCAAATTTTTCCTCATGTATTTATCTCAACTTTTCACAAAGTGAATGAACTTATTTTTTAGCACTTGCAAAAGTACAACACGATATGATAGCATTTTATTTCAATTAATATCACAACATTTCTGAAATGCAATATTGGAGGAATAAATACTGTATCTTAAGAATCTATAGTTCTAAAATAAAGTCAAACTATGTTCACATGTTTAAACACACTTAGCTAGCATTGGACTTGCTTCTTAAATTTCTCTTGCTTAAAAGCAATCATAGATTTAAAATATGCACTAATTTTTAAAACACAACTGTTCAGAAATAAGTTTTTTCAACATTAGTATAGCTAGTTTTTGAGAAGCAAGCTCAACTTATCACTTATAATGAGTTGTAGAATACTTAGGTTCTTTTCAAAAAACACATTTATCTAAATTTTCCACTGAAAACAAACAATTACAAATGTTTCACACACATAACCAAATTCTCATGTTTTATGGAAGCCTCAATAACAAATTAGCATTTTTATTTTATAAAATATACTGATGATAAAAGTAGAACAAAGGCAAGTTCACATTTCATCAGAAGTGAGGCTAAACACAGCTTTTCTCTTCTGAGGCAAAAATCATTTAATGAATTAAAACTAAGCGTCAAAACTGGAGAAACATCATGATACCACATTTTTTTAAAACTCTCAATGTTTCCAAGCATTTCAGTGTAGTTTCCTTGTAGTTTAAATAATGTTCACTTCTCTACAAGCAATGGGTGAACAATAAAACTTGCAATTCTGGGGAGGGAGGTAAAAGTTAAAATTCAGGTACACACAAAAGCAAAACTAGAAACTGCCTGTTTGCAAGACCAATCCTTCTTGAATGAGCTAAAATGGAGACAGAATTTCATCTCTGCCCTGGAGAAACAGACAGAAAGGGCAGCAGAGCCAGGGCCAGGTCAAGGTCACTAGCAGGGCAGTTTGCAGCTGCTTGCATTGCTCTCTTTAACAGCAAGCACAACAGGCCTCCCAAACTCTACGCCCAGACTTTCTGCGCGCGCGCGCACACACACACACACACACCAGTTAGAAACAAAACAACTTTTTATTCCAAATTCTCATTTGCTCCTATGTTGTCGTGTATGGTATTTCACAAACTAGGCACTTTTAAAACACAAACGTCTCTCTCTCTCTCTCTCTTCTCGGTTTCTTGCAAAGCATCACTATCATTTATTTTTTTTTACCTCCCCTTACTAGAGAATAGGCGAACAGCAAAAGGAGTCCCCTGCGGGTTCAGGAAACTCACTTCTGCAAGCTTTCCTGAATTCGGTTTTCATAGGAGCAGCGCTCTGGCTTTTAACTATAAATATATTCCTTTTAAAATCGCGAGGCCAACAGCAGGGTGGCATTGGGGGAGTGGGGGTTGGAGGAGGTGAGTGTGGAATCGAGCCCTGTGCCGGGAGGGGTCAAACAGGAAGCCCTTCAAGCCCCGAGTTTACGCGGCAAGGAAAAGGAAGGCTGTGCGCGCGCGCTCCCCCAAGTGCCATGCCGTGCCCTGCCTTTTCCCTACCTCAGCCCCGGATCATGTGTGCCAGGCTGATCCTGTATTCGGGGGGGGGGGAGGGGGGGGGGGGGTCGGCGGCAGCAGGAGAGAGGAAGAAGTGGCTATGAGCTTAGGACAGAGCGGCAGGGGGAAAAAAGTGGGAGGGGGCGCTTTGGTAGCCCGGGGAATCGTCTCCCTCTATCAACTCTCGTTAATTATACGTATGAACCAGTAATCGATCGCCTCCTCCCCTGCGACGAGGGCAAGGTCGCTCACCTCCCACGCACACAAGCACCCCTCCTCAGCAGCCACCCGCCACAATCTTCGCTTTCCCTTCCTCTCGCTCCCCCTCATGGGTGAACTTCAGGTGACCGACCGTGGCTTTGACACATAAGCAGTTCAGCCTGCCGACAACGAACCTCGGGGCGCAGCCAGGGAGGGGCCAAGCGAGGCTGCACTGAATGTCGGTGCGGAGGCAGGGAGGAGGAGGAGGAGGAGGAAGGGGGGGGGAGAAAATGACCCCTCCAATCCACCCCCGCTTTCATTCCTCTTTTCTTTGGAGGCCAACCAGAAGGAGCCCCGAGTCGCTTTAAAGGTCTTTTAAAATGTGTGCTCTTATTCGTCCGAAGATATTTCCCCTTCCTTCTCTGCAAAGAATGCCCGACCGCTTCTCCATTCCAGAGAGAAGCAGAAGAAAAAGTTAACTGCTTTGCGAAGAATTGAGGAGGAAGAGGAGGAGGACCGGGGTGGAAGGGGGCGCGCAAACCGGCGGGGAAGCGGGGGGGGGGGGGGGGGAAACTGCGGTGTGGTATGTGCGTTGCCCGCACCGGGTGGGGAGAAGTGGGGGCGACGTGCGCTCTGAAGCCCTTCCTGCCTTCTGCTGGTCTCCTCTGGGGCAGAGACGCGGGAACCTCTGGGTCGCTGAGGCTGCATCTGACCCTTCATTTTATTGCAGCGAGGAGGCGAAGCAGACTCCAGCTCGCCTCCACCGCCGCTGCTATGCCGCCGCCTCCGCCACCCCCTCTGCTCTGCAGGGACCTCGCATGCCACGATCTCCCTCTCGCCCTCCCCGCACTTCTCGGCGGCGGCGGCAAAGCGGCAGACCCGGACTCTCCTGTGTCCCTCTATCCTAGCCAACCCCCCCACTCTACCCCGCCGCTGCCTCGCCCTCCCCGCTGCTCTTCGCCTTCTTCCGCCTCCTCCCCGGCTCCGAGGCCGACCAGCCCAGCCGCAACCTTTAGCCGGAGACGGACCTCGCAATCGATTCCGCACAAGACACCAGAAACCCTTCCAGTTGCGACTCCCCACCCCAATAAAAAAAAAAAAGACCCCCTTCAGACTAAACGGCAGAAACCCGTCCGTACACGCACACAAATGCACAATCAAAAGAAAGGGGAGGGGAAAGAGCTAGAAGAGCGAAGAAAGAGAGGAGGGAAAGCCACACACACACACACACACACGCACTCCCTCTCTCGCGCTCACACAGACGCACTCAGACACAGAGAGGGAGAGAGAGAGAGGGAGAGAGGAGAAAAAAAATTAAAAGGGCACAAGGCTGTTCATCACCAACATGGCTGCCTTAGCTCAGACCTAAAAGAGGCATAACCCGGGTGCTGTCTTTGTCAGTTTCACCTCTGTAACCCTAAACTAATGCACAAAACAACGGAGGAGGCTGCAGAGGGGGAGGACGGAGACAGGCAGAGAAGGGAAGGGGGAAGGTAGGGGGACAGAGAAGGGGAGGAAAAAAGGGGGGCACTTACGTGAAGAGAGGCGCTTGGGTTGCTCCTGCTTCCTCCTGGGCATTTTCCCCCCTTTTCACATTCTCCTCCTTGGTTTAATGGGAGACCAAAGGAAAAAAAAAATCCCAAAGAGGGACAGAGGCAGGCACAAAGCGGGGCAAGGGGAGCTGCCCAGCAGAGGTTGCTTTTCTTCTCGTGGGCAAGTGGGGGGGGGGGAAGGCGGTTAGAAAGCCGCTTTTCCTGGAGCCAAGGAGAAGGGATTCCCCGCTCCCCTTTTCCTTGCCCTTCCTCCCCCACCTTTTCTTTTTCTGCCCCCCGGTCGTGCACCTGGTCTGTCCCCGGTCGCAATATTCCTCAATGGAAATGGATCTAATGGACGAGGGGAAGAGTGTGTGCTCATATGCGGTGCCAATAATGAAGGCTGGTGCGGCGGTGTCTATGGCTGCTCCCTGTGTGTCTCCAAGCCCCTAACTAACACTAATGCAGGGATCAAAGGGCAGCGGCGGCGGCGGCGGTGCTCGCAGCTCACACACAGGCTGGGGAGGGAGAGGGAGAAAAGGAGAGAGAGAGAGGAGACGAGACACACACACGCACACAAGGCAGAGCGAAGAAGGAAGGTGCCCCCAGGCTCTTAGGCTGTACTTTACACACCGAACTGCGAGCGCTCTTCCTCGCGAGGTTCAAGGGGGGACAAAGGCGGTCGCCGCCAGGATGCGCCCCCATTTTTTCCCCCTCTTAGAATCGTTGAGGGAAGGAACGGGAGGGGGAGTCCCACGTCGATTGCAAAATAAAATGGTCTGAGAAATACTATAAAGGTCAAGTCGGTGCGATAATATTTTGGGCGTGGAAAAAAGGAAGGTGATCACATAACTAAACTGAATTGCGCCAACTATGTATGCAAATAAATCAAAGCATGGGGGGAGGGGGGGAAGCAAGCATAGGAACGTTAACCTTATAATTTCTTGGTGTAAAGAATGGAAGTGGAGGGGTGGAGCAAGATTAGGTCAGCCCTAATAATTGATTCTGGAGTACACTCACATTGACTTCTGAGTTTGTAGTTTATTTCTGCATAAATGCGGGTTTGGAGAAACGTTATTGAAACCTTCTCCATGAATAGCACGAAGCCTGGATTGCAGTTATTAACCGGTACGGGGCTTTCATTGCCGTACAAAATCATACATTTTTCTATCAAGACAAAACATGAAGAGAAGATGGGTGCGGGTGGAGGAATGGAGAAAGGATTGAAACCCCCCCCCCCAAAAAAAAGTATTGGAAAAGAAAAAGGCTCTTTTTGTGTTCAACTTCCAGTCAATTGGACAGAGATTCATGCTGAGGTAGTTTAGATGAATTCAACTCTAAAACTTGTTAATACAATGGAAGTGAAATGATTGGAGGCACAAGTTGCTTCTCAGAACCCTCATTAACTTTGAACTTGGTAGCTGACAAAGTGAATAATGACTCAGATAGTTTTACAAAAAGTGTTTTAATGGGCTGCTCTCTTTTTTTTATATTCTTGCTTTTGGCAACCTTACTCACCATTGCACTAGTTCAGAGTTATTCTTGCTAGTGGTAGTCATTTCTTTTAAGAAAAGAACCATATTGTCAATTTATTCTATAAAGACTGAATGGTACCAGTCAGCAGTCCATATTTAAGCCAATATAAGTGCCATAATCAGCATGAGAGTAAGCAGCAAATACTGTTCAATAAAATTACATTCCTTGATACTTTCAAAATTTTCATCCTCTCACCTTTTATTTCGTTTTTAACTCTTAACTTCTTTTAATTATCATTTTTTTGTAGAACTTTAGATATCAATGTGGATGCTAGTCAAGGACTGCATTAAAATTTACCTACCCACCAAATACATATATATACAAGAGAAGTCCAGCCAAGCTTGATTTTTCATTTCATTGGTGGCTCTCATCATATATGACCCTCTGAACACATAGGTTTCCTGATGCATATTCTTATGAATATGCATCAGGAAACCTATGCATTTGAGTAGAACAAGTATGTTTTCAAAGGTGATCCCAGTTCATTTAAATTAAATAGGAATGGAAAAATTATTGGAACCTGTGCATTTCAAAGAACAACAAATATAATAACCCTTTCTATTACATATAAACTGCTACTTTACACTTATTAAAACTATATATACATTTGTATGAAACAGTGCTGAAAAGTCATGCACATGCCAATATAACTCCAGTACTCTTGAGTCAGGAATTGTGTATAGTTTTTGCTCCACTAAATTCATATCCCTTGAATTATTGTTTCCACATTATTCTATTTTAATTATATCAAATAAGACATTTCTACAAATGAGAAAAGGGATTGGTTCTCAGGCCTGGTATGCTTCAGCAATGTTGAATGTGTTTCTGACATTTTACAGGAATGCTTAAAACAAACTGAAATCTAGTTCAAATAGATAATACAAAAAACAAAACACTTTTATGAAATAGTCTTAATAGAATAGATTTAGAAATCCTCTTAAAAGTACTAAAATACACATTTTGCCTTTTAAACAGTAGAGATTTATGAATTCAAATAAGTTTTCGTTCAGCTAAACCTTTTAACATGAACTGAAGATGGTTTGAACTTTATCTGTATTATGTTTGATAACTAGAATTGTCTGTGAGCTATTTGGATTGACCTTGCAATAAAAGATGGAGAATCGAAGAATCACATGTACATAAGAACATTCTTACAACTACTTTTAAAGTAACTAAAATGTTACATTCTGGAGCTAATGGATTGTTTTAAGGAAACTATAAGTGCTGATGCCCTTGAATAATAGGATTTAATTATAGTAATCTGTTCCTACTATGGTCATAATCAACAATTGATATAAATATATATACACATGTTTTTATCTTAATGGGCTATCACAACTCATAATGTCCACCTTGAAATAAATATAATATGTTTGCTTTAGGCCCATCCATCATGCAAGTACCCAGCAGATAAACTCTGTAAGATTAAAATTACTTAGACTACCAGGTCAAAGATTAAATATTGGATATTAAATATTTGATTGTTTGTTTCTTTTTTGCAAGTTCACCAGTGGCATGGTGAAATGTTGAGCTTTTTCTCACCACCTAAAACTGGCAAATGTACTGCCTGTATTTCCTTCATTGATGTGATCGTTCCTTCCTTCCTTCCTTCCTTCCTTCCTTCCTTCCTTCCTTCCTTCCTATCTTTCTTCCTTCCTTCCTTCCCTCCCTCCCTCCCTCCCTCCCTCCCTCCCTCCCATTATAACAAGAATTTTGCCAGTTTCCATCTCAAGTAAGGAGAAGAATGGTTAAAATAATACTGTATTTTCTTTTCTTTTAATCATTCCACCAATAGATATACCTGATGTGAAGATGTCAAATAATGAGTCAAGGAAGTGGAACTCATACGAAAGTTTATAGTGGAAGTCACAGGCCCTGAAAGTCCCACCTATAGAAAGGAGCAATTGGTATTTTAGCTCGCCATAACCAAAATAAAGGAATGAGCTGAAATCCAGAAAGGGATTTCTTAAGACAGGCTCATTTCCAGTGAGGTTACATATGGGAAACAAGTAGCTTTAGCACAAACAAAGCAAAACAAGCTTCATTCTTTCACTTGGCAGAAATGTTGTTAGTGCTACATTTCTTCAAACAAAGGCAACTTTAGAGGAATAGTTTTAGAGTTGGCATCAGAAAGTTGTTTTCAGACCTGAAAGCAGATGTCACAAAAAAGGAGTCTCTGTAATTCAGAAGTTTGGATTTTACTTTCTATAACATCATTATTCCTTCAACTTCCCCTATATTTCTATAAAAATTAATGCTGACAGTGGCAGTACTCATTTATAGCACACTAGTTTTGTCTCTACTATTGGAAATCTTTTTCGGGATGTTTAGGGAGTTGTAACTATAAAAAAAGGAGAGGAAGAGGAAGGAAAAAGAAAGACAAGGGGGAGGACGAAGAGGAAGAAATAATTGATACTTTGAAATATCCCTCCCAGCATTTGATCGATGTCACCTTTTCTACTATATAACAAAATTTCATCTTAGTTTATTTTGCTAAGATTACTTCTCAAACAATAAATTGAACAATAAATCAAATTAGATTACTTTGTGTGGATTATATACATATTTAGTCCCAGTGCAACTAATACATGGTTAATCTCATGCAAATGGGCATAAGATTAAAAAAAACAAACCACAATGTTCTTGATCATTTTCCTTGATCAAAGGAAAATGTGAGTTTAAGGCAGAAGTTAATAATAAGTTACCAGAGTACATGCTTTTATTTACTTTATATTCATAAAAGCTTTTCATGATAAACTTTCTTAAAAAAGGTTAACTTGCCAAGCAAAATACAGGTTTTCCTAATCCAATATCAGTCATGCTATATGCATGCAATCAATTGATTAGAGATTAATTGATTAGAGATTGTTCAAGTTATAGTTTTTAGTCTAGTCCTGACCAAGAGAACTAATTGTCACATAGATGCTGCAAGCTAAGATGGAACACAGAACATAGAGTGAAGTAACCAACCTAAACTTTACGTTCTTTAATTTACTCTAGATCTAGACTTCTGCTTCTGTACACAAGATATATGGGAGTGATTGCAGTAGGTTCAGATACTAAAAGAACTATATAAGAGGCAACACCTTTAATAGGAATGGTCTATACTGTACCCTTTTGTCAGTACAGTAACATAATATAATAGCAAAGTGTTCCTTTCAAATAAAAAATCCAATTCTACCATGGTTCTACAACAGGAACTGTACAGCATGACTTCCTTTCCCGGCAATATGATTGGGAGTGTAATTAGTAGTGACCTGCACCTTAAAGATCCTGAGCTAGGAAGTGTTTAACCCAACGGTCACATTAGTACATAACTTTTATTACTTTTATTAAATCTAATTATGCACATAAAATGCTGTTATTTTATCTAGAGTGGTACCTCGGTACTCATTCTTAATTGATACTGGGAGGTGCAATGTGTACCAAAATGACGAGTACTAAACAAATTTTTCCCATAAGGAATAATGTAGTGAATCACAAGGCAGCCGACACCAACAAGTTGTAGCTTGTTCATTGAGTACCAAACAAACGAATACTGGGACAAAATTTTTACGTTAAAATGTGTTGAGTAACAAATTTGATGAGTTTCAAAGCAGTTAAGTACCAAAGTACCACTACATTTCTATAAACATTGGGATATTGTAAACTTCGAGATCTATTATAATCTCATATTACAATGTTTGCAAAAATTGATAAAATAACTGCATTTTATGTATGTATATATATATAGTTATACATACACATTAATTTAAAAAATGGTTATTGTGCTAACAACCATATACCATATTTTTTGATGTATAAGATGCACTTTCCTCCCCCCCCCAAAGTGGGTGGAAATGTCTGTGCATTTTATACAGCGAATGTTGCCAAAGACCCGCCCACCCACCCACTGGCCCCCATCCTTCAGCCTCTGCCTCCCAGCAATTTGCTTCCTTGCAGCAAACAGCAAACAGCCTGGTCAGCTTCAGCACAGCCTGATTTAGCATGAGCAGCTGATTGGCAGTTAGATCTGTCTCCCGGAATACCATCTATCAGCTGTTTCAGGCCGTGGGGATCGCCAC